GGAGGAGGAGGAGGAGGAGGAAGGTGTGAGCGGCCGCCGGCGGTGGTGGCGCCCCCTCCCCGGTTTCACTGCTGGCAGCTCTTGCAATTCGGGTGCCTCGTGGTATTTAAGGGGGTCTTTCGGTCCCTCTAGCCCCCGCTCCTGGGTTCGCCTCATACTTTGATTGCCTGAATTAAAAACAGAAGCAACAAAACCAACTTTATTACCTTCTTCCCCAAAATTATACTTAAAAGACAAAAAAAAAAAAAAAGACCACCAAAGACGCTCCCCGTCACCTCCGGCGGGAAAGACACCGCTCCCGAATTTCGAGCGTTAAGACTTAACGCAGGAGCAATAACGCGAGTAAAGTCTATAACAAAACCCCCGGGGGCTGGCGACTTTGGGCAAGCGAAGGGTGAGCGAGGCGCCTCGGCCCCGGTTTTCTTCTCCCCTCCGAGGCGGCAGGAGGACGTGGGGTTCCCGTGCCTCGTCCCTGAGCATTTGGGGTCCGGCCCGGCCGCGTGCCTCTGCCGGAGACTTTGCCCGGCTTCTAGGAAAAAACCTCGCAAAATAAATCCGCTCGCTGGGAAATTCGCCGGGAACGGTTATCAGGTCTAGGTGCCTTCATCCAGAGCTATTCGAAGGCTGCGCGCTGATTTGAACGCCCAGCGCTGAATTGACTCGACTTGTTTTATAGATGAATTTGGGCCGGGGAAAAGATCCTTTTCCCCCTGTTCATTAGTCCCATAAATCATCGATAACGCCCTGGAAATCGAAGGGACAAACTGGCCCAGCGGAAACCAAGGATGGAGTGGGAACGGAGAGCGGGACTGTCCAGATCTCGTCTCCTCTTTCCGGCCCCGTTTCCTAACCGCTACATGATGCTCCCCAAGGCCTTGCTGCGCCAGAACGAGAAAAAGCAAGGAAATCCTCCCCCCCGACCCCAGCAACGCGGACCGAAGGTCGCAAATCAAAGCGGCGAGGAATCGCCTAAGTAGGCGCAGCTTAGCTGCATAGCTAAGAGCCTTAGTGCATTTTTGCAAGCTTTAGGAAAGCATTTCCCATTCCCGAACGGGCAGGCGGGCACGCAGCTGCGCACGCTCCCCAACGCGGACCGAAAACACGCGCCGACGAGGCCCCGGCTCCAACGCAGGACCGCTGCAGCCCCGGCCGCGATGGCGATGCCCGCGGCGCGCGGAGCTGCAGTTCTCCTCCTGGACAAAATCGGTGATATCCGTGACTCATTTCTTTTTCAAGAGTAAATTTCTGGCCCTTCTTATTTGCCTTTAAAATTCCTGTCGTGCTAAGGATGGGGAGAAATTAAAAAGAGCAAGAAAAACACCCCGAAAAGATTCGCACCCGAATCACGCGACTTGTGCAGCTGGATGCTTAGAGAAAAGCATGCCAAATATTGCAAGTCCCGCAGTAAAATTCATACCCTGCCTGGTTAGGTGTCTTATATAGTGATTTTTTTCCTCTCTTATACTGGCTTTACCGCAATGATTTCTCACTCCCTGACTTTGCACTGCCCCTACTCGGGTAAAGCCCCTCACACCGGTGTGGATCGAGCGCGAGCAGGGGATGAGCTCCGTTGTGATTCACGCTGGTTTTCCCCTAAAGGGCCTGCAAATATTCTCAGCAACGGAGAACCAAGTCTGTTAATTTTTTTCTAATCTGAAAAGAAAAAGCAAAAAAGAAAAAGAAAAAAAAAATAAAAAAGAGGCTATTTCCCTAATATTATTGGCGTCCGCAAAAAAATTAAAAATAAAATGATCTGATGCCACTGAGAGAAATTCTGGAGTTGAGTCTTGAACCCGGAATAGCTCTCTATCCAGTGGAGATTATTAACGTCAATCAAAAAAATGTTTTCTAAAGAGAATTAGACAATTGCTTTTGATTCCATCCCCTCTGCAAAAATTTCAAACAAAATCAAAGCAGATTTTTTCCCAGGGAGGGCAGGTTTTTCCTTTTGCCTGGGCCATGCGAGGCCCGCGCTCGGCCGA